CCTGGACTAACCTCAGCTCTCACCCACTGGAAGGATGACAGAAGCCACAGTACAGAAAGATGCCCCCTTTCCAGGGTGCACCTGCTTGTGGGCATGTGGCCTGCTCAGTGCTTCCCTCCTGCACACCCCCTCCATGGAGAAAGATAATATCTCTGCTGGGGACTGCAGCCCCATGGCCTCTGCCTTGAGACAGACTGGGACTTGGGAAGGTAGGACTGGGAGGACAGAGAGCAGAGGGCAGGTGCAAGGGGCACTAAGGAGAGGTTCTGGATCTACCTAGCCATTGGAGCTGTGACAAGCCCTAGCTAGAATCAGGCAGTGACAGGGGCAAAGAAGGGAACTGGGTTTCTTGTAAATACGCAGAAAGAAACCTCAAGCAACAGAGCTTGCAAAACCTTTCTTTTCCTCCTCCCTCTTCCTGATTGCATCTCAGATGGAGGAGGTGGTGGAAAGAAAGGGATGGAGTCTGAGCTGACAAAAGAGCTGTGGCCGGGCCCCTTCATCGGGCACTTGCTCAACACAGGGGATTAGCTGGCTGATCGGAGTCCAGTCCTAACCGCGCCAAGATTGTGGGTGTGAGTCCTATGGATGGCTTCATTCTGCTGTGTCCAGGAAGATGGCCTGGAGCCCTGATGTTGGCCCGCTGGCTGTTAAATACACGCCACTGGTCACATGGCACAGCAGGCACACTGGCTGTAGGATGACTATTAGCCGGGGGCGGGGCTGTTTTTAAGTAGAGGGTACAGCTATTCCTGGGGTAGTTTCCATTTTGTTTGTGCCTGTGGGGGAGGGGCGTTGAGGGAATAGGAAATGGCATGAAGGAAATCGTTACTTCCTTTCCAGAGAATTCCAGAAAGGTTTCATGGAGAGCGAGGTATTTCAGGAGAGTTGGCTCTGAGGGGCGAGGAACTGGAGAGGAGTTTCTGTGTGGCCCAGATGACCATCTGGCTCCCAGGTTTCCTGGCATGTGTGAAAATGCCACGGGTGTTACCAGCGATTCTGTGAGAGCCACTGGCTCAGCTGAGCGGGTGTAGATTTAAACACACTCCATGGAGGCTGCGGACGTGGCTTGCACATCGGCACTGTTTCCTCTAGAGGAGGTCCAGATGGACACACTGCTTGACGTGTTCCAGCGGCAGCCCTCGGAAGGGTCTGTACCTCTGAAGGGAGCCCAGTTGTAGTGACGCAGGAGCAGCCCAAACCACTTCTACTTTGCTTTGGTTTTGCAATACAGTCAGAACCACAGTGAGCAGAGGTGTGTGTTTGCAGGCTGCAGACACAGATGCCTTGGCTTGCTGTTCCCTCCTGTGGCGCACACTCACGCATGGCAGCTTCCAGGGGGCCATTGATTCTCACAGAGCCATCACTCTTGGACCTGCTAGGACAGGTGCTGGGAGTGGACTTTGAAGCTGGCTATGGGGCAGGATAAGGGAGGAATTTGCCACCAGTTACTAAGGATCCCCAAACAATTCCATTCCCCGAGTCAAGTATCTATGTATGATTCCTGAACCATGCTTGCCAGTGAGGCAGTGTCCAGAATTCTAGGCCACCCAAACTGTGCCTTAGCCAGAGGGCTCTGGAAGGACTTGAGAGAGGAGAACCCTCATGCGGGCCTCTCTTTCCCTTGTCGGGTGGGCCTCTATGGTGGTGGCTTCTTTGGTTTCAAGTTCCTGGGAGAGGGAGGTTATTTTAAGGGACTGGGGGAGAGGGAGTGAACATGCAAATGAGCCTCTCTCCACCTCTCACTTTCAAATCCTCAAACATCTAAAGCAGGAGGGGGAAGCTTTCTGGCCTGGAAGGTTCCATGGGCGGACGGTTCTTGGTCTCAGCCAAGAGAGCCTCTTATACCCCTTTATCTTAATTTCAAGTCTGGGTTGGGCTGAGATCACCAAGATCAGCTTCCAAGACCTTACAGCCTTGCAACAGAGCATCTACACCAGTGGGTGCTCTGTCTAGGGCTTAAACATGAAGTGACATGAAATTAGGCCATGAGAATCATCTCTCTCAGGTCAGACCTCTCTCCTTTGGATTGCTGGTCAAGGTTTTCATCTAACCCAGTGCAGTGTGCAGCGTCTCCCCCACCTCCCTAGCTGAGTGGACCTTGTGGGAAAGACGCTCACGCCCCATAGCTATTCTGGGGCTGGCCTTCTCTTGCTGGGACACACACACCCACAGCAGGGGCCCAGCAGAACTCTGGCTAACCCAGCCCACCCCCACTTCACCACAGCCTGTCTGAGCCAGAGGCAGCATTAGTAGGGGCTTGTCATTCTCACAGAGGCAGCTAGGGCCACCACTGCACCACCACAGCCTGAGAGGAGGAACCAATGACGGAGCCTGTGGCTTTGCCGGCCAGACCAGGCAGCCCTTTGACACACAGAGGCTCTCACGCATGCATCTTCACACTTGGGACACATGCACTTACCCTGCACATCCACAGCGAGCAGAGCATGAACTCAGGGAACTAGCAAAACAAAAATATACCCATGTAACCTCTGAGCTTGCATATTTCGCCTAGTCTCATGTGACAGAGTATAGGACACCCACCTGTACTCAGAGTACACATAGTCACATACTTCCCAGAAAATACCACACTCACAGATGCTGACTGATTACAGAGGGGCAAGGGAGAGTATCATTTATCTGTTTGTTCTTTCTTTTGTTCCTTCTGTCTTGCATGTATTCCATAAACATGAACTGAGCATCTGCTCCTTGGCAAGCACTGTGCAAGCTGCTAAGGTTTTATCAATTATCCACAAACACAGTGGTCTCTGTCTTCAACGAAGCCACTGTCTAGTGGGGGAGTTAAGGAAGGTCCGTAGAAGCTTCTTGGACAGAGGACACCAACAGTGAACTTGCAAAAAAAACCAGAAAGGCTGACTTGTGAAGAGAAGCCCGAGACAGCAAACCTGGAAGGAAAGGCCATAGTGGACCGACCTTGGGGGAGGGGCGGAGGTAGGAGTTTCATGTTTAGACAAAGTAGGATTAGGTGAAAGTGATGCCTTTCATTTGATGAGTAGGGTTCTGGGGGCAATCAGAAGATCAGTGGGAGGGCTAGGGAGCTTCAGAATTTGGCCTGGGGGCCCCTGGGCACTTAGGCTAATGGAGACAGACCTTCCAAGCATAAATGGCCCTGCCTTAGGAGCCCAGGTCAAGGAGACGGGGTCACATGTAGAGTCAAATGGGAGGAGTAAACCGGGATAAGTTAGTCTGAAGGTCCTACTGAGTATGGCTCTGGCTCACTCTCCTTCATCAGAAGGGCAACTCAGACCTGACAGGTAGAGCTACGATTTCTCCATGTGTTTTGTTGGGGTGGCTAGAAAGGTGTGGGGGTGCGGCTGGGGTTGGAGGGAGGGTGGAGCCAGCCCTGTGGGCTAACGGAAAGGAAGTGGCAGAGGCTTGGGTGTCTCCTGTTGGGGGAGAGCGGTCATTATGGAGGTCACCCATGGTCCCCCTCCCTTTCCTCCCCTTTGCCCCTCTCTGAAGTTCCTCATTTCTTTCTGGGCCAGGGCAGGATTTACCACCCTGGCACTGCCCAGGGCGTGTCTTAGAGGTGGGGTTCAGTGATTTGCTCTGACTATGGTAGGTGGACCCAATTCTTCATGGTTGAATCAGGCCGTTGGCAGTATAGAGATGCACACACTGAAACACATCTCACACCCCAAGTGCGCCTGAGGGGCCACAGATGTGGTACCTTGAAGTGCAGAGGCCAAGAGTTCAGGGGCCCAGGAGTGGGGGAGGCTGTAGCTGGGCGAGCAAAGGCTTTGGGAGGCAGCCATGGGTGTGACCACGCTTGGCTGAGCCCAGCCACAAGGGCTGACAGTCAGGAGTGGAGGCAGGGAAGCCGCCGGAGGCCTGAATGCCATGTGAGCACGGGAAGCATCAGGAGAAGAGTCGAGAAGAGTCGTGTGTGGGCTGTAGCAGACAGAGATTTCCTGGAAAAGGGGCCTCTCAGGCCCTGGAGGATGGGGAAGATTCCTCTGCCCTTCCCCCAGCCAGGGCTCTCCTCACAAGTTCCCAGGGTGACAGTTCAGTCTTGAAACTGAAAGCAAAGCTGCATCAAGAGCACAAACCCACACATCACAAGAGGCCACCCTCTCTGGTAGGCAGTGGAGGAAGGGGGTGCAAGGCATGCATGCGACCCACCTGTCTCCTAGCCCCCCTCCCCGCTCTGACACAACACAACCCCCTGCAGAGAGTCACTTCATCCTCAGTAGACTCTGCCCTTCAGAGCTAACTGGCGGCCACTCCCAAGGTACACTAGGCCTCGGAGCACCCTGCACGCCCTGTGTCCCTTGCACCCCTGCCATGAATTCTTTCCTAAGCCAAAGGAGTTATGGGGATTCTTCACACTGTCACCCCAGCCTGAGCTCACCCTGGGTGCTCTGCCATTTTCTGTGGCCATGTACCGAGAATAAAGAGCCCCAAGTCAGCTGGTATGATCCTACCCTCCCTGTAATCTCAGTGCTCAGTGCTCAAAGCTCAGTGCTCAGTGCTCTCAGTGCTCAGGTAGGGCAATGGCAAGTTAAAGCCCAGCCTGAGCAACTTAGCAACTGTTATAGAACTAAATAAAATGAAATAAAATAAAATAAAATAAGCTGGGAATGTAGCTCAGTGTGAAGGCCCTGAGTTCAATCCCCAGCAATACCATTAATAAATAAAAATAAATAACCACCAAACTCCTCTATCTACTGCCTTCTCTGGGAGGAGAGGAGGGGGAGGGGAGCTGCATGTCTTTGGGGCTGGCCAGAGGTATAGATGCTTGTGAGTTTGACTGGCACCAAGATTCAGCTTCCTTTTGCTGGAAACGACTCAGCTGACTTCTTTGGTTTCCTTTTCTTCTTTCCCTGCTTCCTTTCTTCTCCATTGGCCTCTCCTTTCCACCACCCCTGTACTGGTCTTCTGCCTGGCATGTCATGGTCCCTTAGGTTCACCAGCTATCCTGGCAATAGAATCCCAGGAAGCTGACTTACTCATGATCTCCATCTCTCCTTTTTCCCTAGGGTGCTCCTGCGGTTGACCCAGCCCAGTATGCAGCCTTGAGCTTGCTAGAGGCCACCACCTACTCCAGCTCTCTACGTGGCTGGGGGAGGCACTAAGCATCTCCTCACCAAGGAAGAACTGCAGCTCCAGAGAGCTTGGGAATCCTGCTGTCAGCTCTCGGAGCAGACAGTATGGCCATTACCCTGCAGCCCAGTGACCTGATCTTTGAGTTTGCAAGCAACGGAATGGATGACATCCATCAGGTATGGTGCAGGAGAATAAAGTCCAGTGGGCTGGCTGGCTAGCCAGTCAGCAAATACTGATCAGGCACCTACTATGTTCAGGGTGCTGGACCCATGTGTCAGCCAGCCTGTGCATGGTTCTTCACTCATGTAGCTAGTTGGTAGTCTTCAGGTGGTCATTCAGGGAGCTGGCTGCTCATCTAACCGAATGGCTGCTAAATAATCAACTGAGCTGTTGATCAGTCAGCAACAAGGACTGAAGTCACAAGGTGCGCTCTGATCATCATAAGGGTTTTAACCGCTTCCTTCTCCCCCAGTGTCACCCTGAGAAAGGTGCTGGGATGGCCACATAGCAACAGGGCCTTTGCCTGCTGAAACTGCAGGGTGGAGTCCAAGCCCTGGTATCATCAGACACCTGGCTCTCATCCAGTTGATGGGTTCTTTTCAGCTTCCACCTGAGGAGTCAGGATAAGACTGAGGATTCAAGCAGAAGCCTCCCCTCCCAATCTACAGAGAGGCTCAAAGCCATGGGGCTCTGTGGGAGGAAGTTGGAAAACAGGATAGGATTCTGACACTCAGGTACCCTGGCTAAGAGGTCACATTTTCCATGCACTTAGTTGTCTCTGTTGGTTGATGTCCTGGCATACTCGGCACTACCCACCCGCCCCCTTGTCTTACACAATGAAGAGAGAAGAGGCAGCCATGGAAGAGTTGGACTCAGGAACCCTTTTTTGATCCTAGTTTGATCCTAGTTTGGCCACAGTGTCACCTGGCCAAGCCCCGTCTCCTACTGTATCTGGCTGCCTTTTCCAAGAAATCTGCCTGGATTATCTCTAAGGCATCCCAGCCTCTGATGTGCTTGCTCTGCCTAAATCCTTGCAAGGATGGAAGCCGTCCCATGTCCAGCAGCCTACCAAAGGCTGCCCTCTAATGGGCGTCGAGAGCATTGTACTTTCTGGCCTGCGCATTCTTACCCAAGGTTGCTTGATGTTATTGAACCCTCTGGTGTGCCTGGCCTTGTGAACAAAAGGATTCACATGAAGAAGAAGGGAAGAAAAATCCAAACTTACCTGGACTCTCAGTGCCACTTGCCACTTTCTACTTGTTTCTAGTCTGCTCAGCAACTTTTCGTGTCTTCATAAAGGCTCTCCGCACCTCCCAGGTGATCCTCCACCCTCAGCGGAAACCTCTCCTCCCAACCTACAGAAAAGCCCAAAACCAAAGGTGCCCTCAGTTTCCCTCTTTTATCCCTTTATCTATAACATCTCATATTCTTATTTCCTTCCACTGGCATAGGAGAAAAAAGTATTGCTTTTCCTTTCCAGGCAACTCCTATCCGTGTACTTGATCTCTTGCCTCTTGCCTTCCTTTTAAGACCTCAAGTCATCAATCACATTCCCTGTCTCTTCTATATTTCTGACCTTCCAGATTTTTCTTTTCAGTTTAGAACACCTTCCGGTCTCTCCAACCCTAAAAGAAACCTTCCCACCTTTCTGCCTTGCTGCATCAGAATACTACCTTCTTTTTAAAATCACTCTTTTTTGTGCTACTGGGATTTGTACCTAGGGCCTTCACATTGAGCTACATCCCCAGCCCCTTTTATGTTTTATTTTGAGGCAGGTTCTCATTAAGTTGCCCAAACTGGGCTTGAACTTGTGATTCTCCTGCCTCAGTCTCCCAGAGTTCTAGGATTATAGTTTAACCCTTGCATTTTTCTTAGGAAAAATTTTTTTTGTTGTGAAATGTATCATAAATACAGAAGAGTACATAAATCATTGATAGGTAGACAATAAAGTGGACATACATGTACTCATAACCCAGGTTAAGGAATAAAACATTATTAGTCTCCTAGAAGCCTTTGATACCTAACACTTAATGAGAAATTACTCTATGCAAGGTCCTGTTTTGAGTGCATAATGTGTATTGATCTGTTTAAACAATCCTATGGTCAATGATGTGAGTATCCCAATTTTATAAACGAGAAAACTGACACACAGAAATATAGGTAACTTTCCTAAGGTCACACTGCTAGTAAGTAAGCGGCCTAGCTTGTTTGCTTTTTCTTTGTTTCTTTCTTTCTTTTTTGGTACCAGGAATTGAACTCACGACCTCATGCTTGCCAGGCATGCACTTCTGCCATTGAGCTAAATCCCTGGCTCTTTTCTTTTCTTTGAGACAGGGTCGCACTGTGTAGCTCAAACTGGCCTTGAACTCACTATGTAGTCTGGGTTGGCCTCAAACATGTGGTGATCCTTCTACCTCGGCCTCCTAAGTGCTGGGACCACGGGCATGTGCCACCATGCCTAGCCTCCAGCTTGGTTTCAAACTCAAGCAGTCTGGCTCTAGATTAACACAAGCTGATAGAATTTTCTGGAATGCTAACAATGCTGTTTTATATTTGAATTATCTAGTGTAAAGCTATTACATGATGCTGCAGAGCCCTTGAAATGTAGTTAGTGCAACTGAAGAACTGAAGTTTTATCTTCCATGTTTTTCTCGTGCTTTGTCTAGCCACAAACTCTCAATCATCCTGCTTCAGCCTTCCTAGTGCTGGGATTATAGGTGTGTACCACAATGCACACTCTGAAGTTGTAGCTTTCTAAAATTTCCATTCTGTTTAAATTTAAAGTCACCAGTGACTAGTGGCTGTCATCATCGACAGCACACATCTATACAGCATGCCCTTAGTAATTACACCTGATGCCTGTTTCATTCCATCCTCTGTGAGATCCCATGTCACCTGGCCTGGGACCCCAGCACTCCCCTGAAGTCACTCCAGCCAGAGCAACTGCCCAGTGACCAAACACAAAGCTTTTAGTCAAGGTATACTCTTCTGCATTCCTCAGGAACATTAAAAGATGAACCATCTTTTGCAATCTTTTTTCATGAACAAATATTTAACATTCCTATGAAAGAAAATTTATAAAACACAGAAAAATAGAAACAAAAAAATCATCCAAAGTCTAACAACCAAAATATAACTACAATTTACATCCTAGTATATTCCCTTTTATCTAGAATTTTTTAAAATGTCAACTGTGGTGGCATACATCAGTAATCCCAGCTATCCAGGAGGCCAAGGCAGAAGGATCAACAGTTCAAGGATAACCTGAGTAACTTAGCAAGACCTTGTTCAAAAATGAAAAATAGGGCTGGGGATATAGCTCAGCAGGCACAGTACCTGCCTGGCAAGTACAAGGTTAAGAGTTTGATTTCCACTACCAATAAAACAATAAAATTAACCAAAACAAAAAAGCTAAAAAATAAAAAGATGGAAGAGATAGCTCAGTGAAAGAGCACCCCTAGGTTCACTGCCCAGTACCCCACACACCCACCCACACACCAGGACTGGGCACAGCTTAGTGGTAGAGTACTTGCCTAGCATGCCTAAGGCCCTGGCTTTAATCTTTAGCACAGTGAATGAATGAATGAGAATAGATATGATCACAATATATGCATCGAAACTCCCTCAAATAAAGTGAAACTAGAGGGCAGGGTGAGGCAAGGAGGTCACGAGGGCAAAATGATCAAAGTATGTTACGTGCATGTCGAATATGCCAGAATGAAAGTCACTAATCTGTGTATCTAATATGCCATAATAAAAAGGATATGAAACAAAGTTAGGGCTGGGGTGAACTCAGTGATATAGCACTTGCCTAGCATTCATGAGGCCCCTAAGTTTCATCTGCAGGATTGTTGATAATAATATACAAATATGGTTACACTCCATTATTAATTTTTTTTCTTGCTTAGTTCTTTTCATCTTTTGGGGGGGTACCGGGGTACCGAACTCACGACCTCGCACTTGCTAAGCAGGCACTTTTGCCACTGAGCTAAATCCCCAGGCCACACCCCATTATTATTATTATTATTATTATTATTATTATTAGTTTGGAAACCAGGTATCACTTTGTAGCCCAGGCTGCAGTGATCCTTCTGAGTGCTGGGATTAGGGGAGAGTGCCACCACCCCCGGCCAACACTGCTTTTTTATTTAGCTTTGTTTCATTTCGGAACAACAATACTCTTTAGGGGCCAAATTCTCACCCTGATTAACTTTTCCATGCTGAGGGATTCAGTGGCCACCTGCTCCCTTTAGAGCTCTTCGACATTTGTTTCTGACTCCTGGACAGGCACCTCCATTTTAGATCTCCCAAAGGTACCGCAAACTCATCATATCTAAATATTTCCCTTACTTTTCTCCCAAACCTCATTTGCCTCTGTCTGGATCAGCCTCAGACACGCGCAGTCACCCCATGTGCCTGCCAAATCGAGCTGGCAATGAAACCCTCTCCCCAGTCCAGTCAGTGATTGCCTCTGACTTTTAGCCTCTAGAATGGCTCTGACTTCATCCTCACTGTCATTGCCACCGACTGAACCCTCAAATGTCTGGGTCCCCTAACATGACCCCAGGCTGAGTCCCTCACCCTTCACCCTTACCCTTGAGCCCCTTACCCCTGCCATCAACTAATCCTTTCCCACTGGCCTCACAAAGAGCCTAACCCTTCTCAAGGACTGAATTCCAACCCCAGGTGATGGATTACACAATCACTTAAAAATGCTTGCCCAGTCTGGGGAATAGCTCAGAGGTATAGTGCATCTTCACTTCAGGAGCCCCTGTTCCCTGCTCCCCTCCACAGTGCTAGAGGTGGAATCCAGGACCTCACACACGCTAGGCAATGAGTTATACCTCCAATCCTTTTTTGTGGGGGCGGGGTTGAGACAGGGTCTCACTATGTAGTTCAGGCTGAACTACAGTGATCCTTTTGCCTCAGCCTCTTGAGTGTTGGGATTACTGGCGTGTGCCACCAGGCCCGGAGGTCCCAATCCCTTTTTAAAATTGTATTCTGAGACATGGTCTCACTAAGTTGCCCAGACTGGCCTCAAACTTACGATCCTCTCTCTCAACTGCCTGAGTAGCTGGGATTACAGGTGCGTGCCAGTGTGATAGGCTAAGGCCAGGTTTGGTTCCCACGTACACAAATGCTTGCCTTTGGTTGAGTGCAAGTTGGGAAGAGCTGAGCCATCTCTTTTAATCAAGAGCCCACTCAAAGCATTGCCTAGTGAGGCTGAACCTAGAGCAACCAGGTCTCAGCCCCTGAGGGCTCCAAGAAGTAGGAATTGCACAAAGGGCCAGAGGCTGATAGGGAGGGCTTCCCGGAAGAGGTAGGTAGCCTTGAACCAGATCCCTATCTCCTCCCTAGCTGGAAGACCCTTCGGTGTTCCCAGCTGTGATCGTGGAGCAGGTACCCTACCCCGAATTACTGCATCTGTACTCAGGACTGGAGCTGGATGACGTTCACAATGGCATCATAACAGATGGGACCTTGTGTATGACGCAGGACCAGATCCTGGAGGGCAGCTTTTTGCTGGCAGGTCAGTTCCCTTTCCATGCAGGGGAGGTGTGGTGGAGGTGGAGAAAGGGGTTCTGTCTTGGGGAATGGCAGCCCAAAGTGGCTGTCAGTAACCCTACCCAGAACAGGCAAGGCCTCTAACAAAAGGTCAGTGCCAATTCACGGAGGAGAAAACCACCTCAATTCACCGAAATTCTCTAGATGAAGTGGGACGAGGAGGGGTGGGAGGAGAGGTGGAGAGCTGCTGAGGGGTGGGGATTAGACAGGAGAAATGCTGGTCCCTAGGGTCGCTGTGTCTCCTCTTCTTTCCACTCTGTTGGCTCGGGTTGGCCCTGTACTGTGTAGCTCTACTGTGCCCTGAGGGAACTTTTCTTCTGCCCTTTCCTCATGAAATGTGGAACCAGATGACAATGAGGCCACCTCACACACCATGGCAACCACCGAAGTCTTACTCAATGTGGAATCTCCCAACAACATCCTGGATGAGAAGCAGATCTGTAAGTTTGAACCCCTGTGCTTTAACTCAAAACAACCAAACAACTCCCTTCTATTTTAAACAACTCCCTTATATTTTATTTATTGTTATATCCTGTTGGGTGTGGCAGCGCAAGCCTGTAATCCCAGCACTTTGGGAAGCTGACTCAGGATTGCAAGTTCAAGCCCAGGCTGCGCCTTAAAATAAAAAATAAAAAGGCTAGGGACATAGCTCAGTGTGAAGGTCATGGGATTAATCACCAGTACCCAACACACACACACACACACACACACACACACACACACACACACACAGAAATCTAGGAGGCTGAGACAAGAGGATCACAAGTTAGAGTCCAGCTTGGGCACTGAGTGACTTAGGGAGACCCTGTGTCTAAGTACCAAGGCCCTGGGTCAACCCTCCAGTACTGAAAAAAAGTTTCTGTGCTAGATTTTTAGGTGCATGCACAAGTGGCATGGGTTGCCACACCTATCACTATACATGTGAACACACTCAGGCTGGGGCTGGCCGGGATGGGTGGGAAGGCACCAGGCACGAGAGATACGGAAAAGATGGGTAGGGTGATTTTGTGTTTTAGCCCCTGTTTATTTAGTTTTGACTCAGCGTCTCACTACATAGTTCGTTAGGCCGTCCTTTAAATCACTGTGTAGTCCAGGCTGGCCTCCAACTCACTGCAATCCTCCTGCCTCAGCCACCTGAGTGCTAAAATTACAGGCATGTCCAGCTTTTAAACAGTGGAAAAATACTATACATACCTTAGTCATTTTAAAGTGACAGTTTAGCAGTGTTAAGTAGGTTTTCAACCATCTCTACTGTCCATCTCAGAACCCTTCTGAACCTGAAATTGTCCCCATTAAACAACTTCCTTGCCCCATGCCCAAGCCCTAGCAGCTGCCATCCTACCTCTGTCTCTGTGAGCCTGACTATTCTGGGGACCTCACAGCACGATGCTTTTTGTGGCTGATTTATTTCACTTAGCATAATGTTTTCAAAGCCTACCCATGTGTAGCATGTGTCAGAATTTCCTTCCTTTTTAAGGCTGAGCAATAGAATAATGTCCAGGGGACTTTTCAGGCCCCCACTCTGTGACTTACTTAGAAACGCCCTGAGCTTGGAATGCTTTACATCTTTCCTCCATCTTGGAGGGAAGTCCTCAAAAGGGCTCATGTGTCTGCTGATCTCTCTGACTCCCTGTTTCCCCAGAAGACCCCCAAGACTCCTTCCTCCCAGGGCCTTCTCAGGCAGATGCTCTAATGCCGCAGGAGGGTTTCCCCTCAACTGCGCTTGCCCAAGCAGATGCTGTGATATAGTGAGGGAAACAAAAGCCCTAACACTGAGAGGTAAGCGATCTCTCCCCTTGTCTCTCACTAATATTCAGCCAGGACTCAACAAATATTTACTGAGTATCTCCAAGTACCAGGCCCTGACTTGCTATGTGACTCACCATCTCAGAGTCTGTCTCAACTGCTTGTGCGCAAAGAGAGGAATTGCACTAAAGGCTTTCTAAAGGCCTTCTGAGTCGCCAAAAGAGGGAAAAGCTAAATCAAGGTGGCCCTTTACTCTGGGCACTGTCTGAGATTTCCCCTCTCTCAGCTGTGGGCTCTAAAGGTGGCAGCTGTCACTGGGGACAGCTCATGCCCATGGCTCTGCAGATGTTTCCTCCCGTCCTGGTGCGAGAGCCCGCTGTGGCATTTTCAGGTGTATCCCGTGTCAGGGCTGTGGGGAACAGCAGTGCCACCCTCTCCTGGGTCCCCCCCCCACTCTCCAGACCCGCCCACTGCATGCTTCTCTTCCTACAGTCAGCACCTCCGAAACGCTGCCCGACTCAGACCCTGCTCCAGCCGTGACTCTGCCCAACTACCTGTTCCCTACCTCTGACTCTGATACCCAGAATGGGGCAGGTGACACTGGTGACCAGGAAGACCAGTCTGTGGAGGAGAGAGCCTCCAGAGACGAAAGTGCCAAGAAGACTGGGAAATCAAAGAAGAGAAGTAAGGAGGGGACAGACATGTGTGTGTGTGTGTGTGTGTGTGTGTTCAAGGGAGTGGGAAGTGGGGGACTAGGGAGGCTCCAGGGGCTAAGTGGGCTGAGGATCTGGTCTGGTGGGGATGGACTAGAAAGCCTCCTCTCTGTAACCCTGGCCTTAGCCTGCTGTCCTGTACACTGCTCCTGTCTGCCCAGCACATGAGAACACTGCCAGAAACCCCAATAATCCCCATGGGCTGAATCTCAGGCTGAGTTTGGACCCCTGGCCAGTCCCTAGACCTCTGGGATGTCTCTGTCTATTCAAAATGAGTCATGCATCATGCTTATCTCCCTGCAGCAGAGCTTATGAAGCAGAGACTGTATATGAGAGAGGACTTTGGGCTTTCCCAGGCCCCAGCGTTATTGATTTACTCAGCGGGTGGCTGGTTGATACCACACTGGCCTGCGCAGCCACGGCGCCTTTCGGCCGTCTGTCCATTTCCAAAATGAGGCCAGGCAGATTTTGCTTTTAGGAAGGTGCCTTGTTTGCCAGCATGTGGAGAACATGGCCGCTTGCTGTGGAGCTGCCTGACCATGAGGGTGTAAATACCTGTGGCTGTGGCTGTGACCGTGGCAAATGATTGACCTGGCTCCTCCTGGCCACGCCCAACATGGCTGGCTCACCACAGCCTTGGCCCCAGCCTGCTCTCCCACCTTTCCCTCACAGTCCGGAAGACCAAGGGCAACCGAAGCACCTCACCTGTCACGGACCCTAGCATCCCCATCCGGAAGAAGTCAAAGGATGGCAAAGGTATGGCCGGGAGTTGCAGAGTGGAAGGGGTGGCCCTTAACCTGCTGCTAGGGTGCCCTAGTCACCTCTCACTGCCCGCCGCTCTGCAGGCAGTACCATCTACCTGTGGGAGTTCCTCCTGGCACTTCTGCAAGACCGAAACACCTGTCCCAAGTATATCAAGTGGACCCAGCGAGAGAAAGGCATCTTCAAGCTGGTGGACTCCAAAGCCGTGTCCAAGCTGTGGGGAAAGCAGAAAAACAAGCCTGACATGAACTACGAGACGATGGGGCGGGCACTAAGGTAGGAGCTGCCGAGACACAGACTCGCTGTCCTGAAAGTCACCAAGCTCCATGCCCAAGGAGGCTCTCCCACTGTAAGGGAGGCCTGCCCCCATCCTCTAGGGAAACGGGTCTCACAGCCCTCCTGTTAGCCTGCCCTACTCCCCCTTCCACTTTGAGAGGAAAAATCTCCTTCCTTTTACATCAACACCCCAGTCCATCTCCAAGGAGGGTTTTCTTCACTTTGTGCAAGCCACAGGTACAGAGAGATGGCCTTGAGTTGCCCTGCAGTTGGTCTCTCGAGCTGGGAGCCTGCTGAACTCCTGCCATCCGGTCCTTCGCTCCGGCTTCCATCCTTTATTCACTCCCCACCCTCAGCCCCAAAGCAAGATGGTTTGGAATCATGGAACCCTTTACATGCATCCTCTAAGGCCCAGGGGAAAATCTGGGCCTTTCCTACCCAAGAGTTGACCTTGCCCCTTTCCTTGCCCCCGGGCTTGCCTCGAGCTTGCCCTGCCCTGGAGGGTAGTGTAAAGGGGCTAGAGACGGCAGGCCCTCGCTCAGTCCCCAGCTAACTTCCCACTCCCCACCCCTGCTTGCCCAGATACTACTACCAAAGAGGCATCCTGGCCAAAGTGGAAGGGCAGAGGCTGGTGTACCAGTTTAAGGAGATGCCCAAGGACCTGGTAGTCATTGAAGATGAGGATGAGAAAACTGAAGCCCCAGAAGCACCCCCTCAGGCTGCCACGTCCTCCACAAGCTCCACCAGAAGACCCAGCTCCAGGGTGTCATCCAAGACTGCCCCTCAGGGCAAGGGTGGCCCTGCCTGGGAGAAGCCAAAGGTCCAGCACGTTGGTCTGCAGCCGTCTTCCAGCCTGGAATTGGGACTGGCTCTGAATGAGGAGACCCCAACTACCTCCACGATGCTTGTCTCGCCGGCAGAGGGCCAGGCCAAGCTTACCAAGTCCGTGAGGTAAGGATGCCAAAGCAACCGTGAGCTTTCCAAAAGCACCTTGTGTCAGGGCTGTCTCCAGCTTTTTTTTTTTTTTTTTTTTTTTTTTTTTTTTTTTTTTTATCGGTACCAGGGATCAAACTCATGACCACCTACTTGCAAGGCAGGTGCTTATGCCGCTGAGCTAAATCCCCAGCCCCATACCTCCAGCTTTTTGCAAAGCTCTGTTGTGTCTCCAATCTTGTGGGATCCTCACAGGACCCTAGGGAACCAGCGGAGCACTTGTGGACAACAGAGAGGAAAGGTGGCATGCCTAAGGCCATACACTGAATTACACTAATGCCAGCACTTGACTTGGGGTGCTTCTGTCGCCAGCTGAGGCTGATTCTGCTACTCCAGACTATCCCCCAAGTAGCTAGCCGGGGCTTCCACACTGTGCCGGTCCCTCCCAGTCACCTCCACTCCACACGAGGGAATGCAGCAGAGTCGCCGATTCTGCCTCCCACCCCGCAACTCTCACTCATTCCACTTTTCTTTTTTGCTCTGGGGCCCAAGTTTTCCTGAAAAGGTTGGGGTTTGTCCTCACCTCTTGGTACACTGGTACAGCTCACCAAGACATTCTCCCAAGGGGCAGGCAGCAGAAGGGGAGTCAGAAAAGGGCAAGGGTGAGTTCTTGGATCACAAGGCCTAGGTCCAAGTCCTTGCTCTTGCGTCTAGGGCTTACCAGTTGTGTGGTTTTGGGGTAAATTATGTAACTTCTCTGTGACTCAGTTTCCTCAAGCTGTAAAATCTAGTAATTCTTATTTGGCTCATATATTGTTTTGATGTTTGAACAAAATGCAGCGTGGGAACCACTAGGAATGACCTCTGAACTATACTAAGTACTGAATAAATGCTAGCTAGAGCGACTATGCATGGAACACCTGCAGCTCTGTCCCTGGTATGCCCTCCTCCTTAGCTGGTTGGGAGACCTCTCCTGCCTTAACCAACTCTTTTCTGTCTCAACTCAGTTCTTCGGTGCCCAGCAACATCCACTTAGGAGTGGCCCCCACAGGGTCGAGCTCAGCTGTGACCCTGCAGACCATCCCACTGACTACGGTGCTGACCAACGGGCCTCCTGCCAGTACTACTACGTCCACTCAGCTGGTTCTTCAAAGTGTTCCAACCACATCTTCCACATTCAAGGACACCTTCACTCTGCAGGCCTCCTTCCCCCTGAACACTAGCTTCCAAGAGAACCAGGTGGCTGCATCAGGGGCCCCGCTGATTCTCAGTGGCCTCCCTCAGCTTCTGGCTGGGACCAACCGTCCAACCAACCCAGCACCACCCTCTGGCACGGCTGCTGGACCAGCGGGGCCCAGCTCTCAGCCCCCTGGGACTGTGATTGCTGCCTTCATCAGGACTTCCGCTACCACAGCAGCCCCTGGGGTCAAAGAGGGGCCACTGAGGTCCTCCTCATATGTGCAGGGCATGGTGACTGGGGCCCCTGTGGAGGGACTGCTGGTTCCCGAAGAGACCCTGAGGGAGCTCCTGAGAGATCAGGCTCATCTTCAGCCACTTCCAACCCAGGTGGTTTCAAGGGGTTCCCAGACTCCGAGCCTTATGGGAAACCAGACTTTCTCTCCCCCCAGCCGCCCCACTGTTGGGCTGACCCCAGTGGCTGAACTTGAGCTCTCCTCAGGCTCAGGGTCCCTGTTAATGGCTGAGCCTAGTGTGACCTCATCTGGGAGCCTGCTGACCAGATCCCCAACCCCAGCCCCCTTCTCTCCATTCAATCCCACTTCCCTCATTAAGATGGAGCCCCATGACATATAAACAAAGGGGTCAGAAGTATAACGCATGAGGTGATGCTGAGCAGTAGCTTTCCACAGACTGACTCATGTAGTGTACCTGCCCTTACGTTTCCGTGGGAGTCAATACACCTGATCCTCAGCCCCCCAGGCCTGCCTGGCATAGCATGGCCGAGCTTGGTTGTTTGAGCTGGCATCAGATCGCATCCCTGGCATCAGATCGTGGCCTTCAGGAGCACAAGCGGATGTGCTCTTGGTAGGATAATGGGCTTGCTTGGTGATGTAGGGAAAACTCCTGGAGCCAGGGAACAGCTTGTGGCCAGGACTAGCACAGGAACTTCGTGAGAAGAGTTGGGCCTGACTGCATCTCACTATCCACAGTCCCTGCAGAGGGATTTACTATCCCATATGTGAATATCTCTGTATGCATCTCTCTGTGTGTGTACTTGTGGGTCTCTATCTTCCTTTTTTGGGGGGGAGGACTAGGGTGTAGCTATGCGGTCTTGTCTTCAAGCATATGTGTGTGTCTTCTGTGGGTCAGCCGCAGAGATGGGGATCTTTCTGAAGGGAAAACAAGCTCTAGTGCCCAAGACTAGGTTGCTCTGAGGCTATGGGGTACAGATTAGAACCCCTAGTCTATAGCTGTCACAGAGCTGGATCAGATCCAGGTAGGACAGCTGCAGTGGGTGCACCTGTTGGAGAAGACACACTGCTGGGGGACAGTAAGGCTAGGTGGGGTAAAAGCACCAGGGAGAGGGAGAGAAGAGAACTCAGCCCTGGGAGTGACCCCCCCAGGCTCTTCCTGGAGTTTGCCTCACTGCTGGCCGCTGTCACCATGCCAGCAGGCTGGGACCTTGGCTGCCCTGCGTACTTAGCTGGAGAAATAGTCAGGACCGAGCACCCTTCTAGAGTCAGACTCAGACATGAAGTCCCCAGTCAGGGCTGAGTTAATAGTGAGTGAATATCTGTGCCAGGGTCTCGGGCTGTTTGTGCCAGGCAACAGTCTCAGCTGGCATGCTGGCATGCTGCCCTGTGTGCCCTTCCCTGGGTTACCTGCTCATTACTTCTCTGAGACTTCTAGCTGCCAGGTGTTGCTGGGAGCAGTGGGATGCTGACCCAGCTGGGGTCTGCCTCCGTTCCTGGAGAGGTGCCGCCACCTCATCCCTGCTGTCCAGCCTGCCTGCTCACCTCAGAGGTGTGCCAGCCCCCCCTCATTTCCAATCCCCGTACCTAACCCCCAGTCATCCTTCACCAGCTGACACCGCTCCCGTGGCGCCTCTCCAGCCCCTCATGGCTCCTCGCTTCCTTCTTGTTGCTTGCTGGGGAAGGGTCAGCCTGCACCCTCTCCACGTCAGCCCCTCAGCTGAGGGACTGTGTTCCCCTCCCTCTCTCCCACTGAGTCTGTTTGCCCTTCCCGTCAACTCTGGGGGCAAAGCTAAGAAATATTGAGCTTGGGAGCAACTTTACTCTGGTGAATTTGGTTAATGTGAATCAGTGCCTCAGGACTTTTGCTTCGTTCTTGGCACGAAACCACCCACTTGGCCTAACTACCTCCCCTGGCTGCCCGTTTTTCTCCCTCTTGTGGGCATCACTCTGTCTCACCCTTCCTTCTTCTTCCCCAGGGAGGGGCTGTATATGGCATGCAGGTGTATTTCCAGGCATTCCCAGCACTTGGCCACAAAGTGCCTTTTTCTAATAAAATCAGCTTCTTATGCCAATATCCTGATGTTGAAAGTAAACATCTTCAAAAGGATCCCTGTTTTTGAAAAAAAAAGTTGCACAAAGGCAGTTGGGGGAGCCCTGTCCAGGTCTGAAATTTGGTTTCTGTCCTTGCTCCCTCCTCGTCTCCACAGACACCTATCACCCCGGGGACATCAGTGGCCTCGGGCTGAAATCTGGTGACTGCTCAGTTCTGTGAGCAGTGCTCACGGGGCCCTCCTCACCTGCATCCTTTCTCTGCACCTGGGCCAGATCCTCACCTGCCACCTGAAACCTGGGCGTTCCTGAGGGTTTCATCCTTCTCCTGGCTGGGTCTTCTGAATGAGGCTTGAATCTGCAGTCCAGTGGCTTCAGCCCTGTTTTTCTTGTAATCCCTTGGCTTGTCTAGTGAGCTGCCAGACGCTTTCACCTAAATATCTGTCAGTCCCTCTATAGCTGTGGTTCCTTAAATTTTCTCCACACTCACAAAAACAAAAAACACACCCAGTGAAAAGGCCACCACGGTTTGCCTATTTCTGTTAATGACACCACCATCTTCCTACCGTCCTGAGCCTGAATTTCAGAGCCACCCAGTACCTGCTTTCCCCTGGGACTGCCCCTCTCCCTTCTGCAGTTCAGTGCAGTTACAGTGTGTCCAAAATCTGGCCTGTGTTGCTCATCCTCAGCTCCAGTAGCCTGGCTTATACTACCCAGAGCTTCCCGTCCCTGGACACATCAGTGCCCCGGCCAGTGTGACCTGCCACCCTTTCCAATCCACGCAGCACCAACCCTGTTGCTTTGCCTTCAGTGACTCCCCCTGGCCTAGAGGTAGGATGACACTTGAAGTACTTCTCTCTTCCACTCCTTTCTAGAGGCCTGGCGTTAACCCTTCAGTGGCAGGGCCACGGGGTAGTCCAGGGGACCTGCAGCAGGGATGGGAGAGCACTTACGGATCTCAGGACAGTAAGGGCAGAAGTAAAAGTGTGGGCGTCAGCTCCACCCTCGGACAAAGCCCCAAGTCCTTGGCCTTTTACCATAGGTCCCGTCTGGCTTTCTGGCCCCCACACCCTGCACCTTCTTCCCGTGTACTGCTCCAAACAAACTGCTGGGTTTGCTCATCTTGGAACTTGCCTTTGTTCAAAATGTCCCACCTCTGCCTTTCCTTTCCTGGGCTCTGTGCAATGGGGACATTTTTCCCATTTCCCTCTTACCAACTCAGTTGTGTCTGTCCTCAAGACTAAATTCATGGAAGCTGCCTCCCCAAAGCAGCCTCTCCTTTTGTGCGCTCTTTATTCTAAACTCATTGCAATATTATTCTTTGAGCAACTCATCAAGAACAACCTATAACTTCTCTATTATAACCATGAACTGTTACTTAGAGCTTTAGTGACCTGCACCTATTTCGTCAGCCCAATTGGTGTGTTACCTCCTGAGGGCCAGAAGGGACTGCATCCCCTGCAGAACAGGGCACAGTCACTGATTGCGCTGGTGGGAGCGGGGACCAAACTTCAAGGTGGGTAACTCCTGACCTCCCCTCTGCCAAGGCACACACCCCAAGGCCTCCACTGCTAGGGCCTACCCTCCTCAGCTCAGTGTCCTCATGGTACCCGTGTCGTCTCAGTTAATATTTGTTACTGCTTTTGATGTTCTCTGTCCCTGAAGAAACTTCCCTGTCCAGTTTCTTGCCCACTCGAAGTGTTAAAGTAGTTAATCTTTTAAACTAACCTGTGCAGAGGTAGTTATGGGAGCGAGAGGAGAAGCCCAGGAGACGTTCTTTCGACAGCTGTGTGGCAGAAACCCTGCCTTTGTGATACTTTCACGGAGTCAGGCATTGAGTGATGGTTCTTACCTCCCAGCGGTGGATGTATTACTCCCTCCTCGGGCTCCCGCGGCACTTGTGTATACCTCTCATTGTAGCAATAGCACATTGTAGCTCTTAATATTATGTGTTTATGTATGTTTCCCCTCTAGTAGACTGTGAGCTCCACAAGGACAGGGACTGTGTGTTAGACACTGTTATATCCACAGCGCCTAGCACAGTGCCTGGCACACAGTAGGTGCTCAATAAATGTTTATCGAAAGGATGGATGAATGAGTCCTGATTCCAGTTATGGTGACTTCTGCTCTATACTCTGGCAGGCAAGAGGACAATCCAAACCTGGGAACTATCAGCTTTTTAAAAACTCATCTAACACTCCTGGCAGCCACTTCCTTCACCTAAATCTAGCTATCTCTGCACAACAGGCTCACAGGGAACCTAAGGAGCTTCCAGCTGCACCTTGCTGTCACCAGGTGCCACCAATGATGCCCAAATGCCCGTTGGCCACTGCTTCCTTCCGCACCATTTCCTCATCCCTGGGTGGGACTAAGTGGTGGAAATGTCAGCCCTGGGCGGGGCAGGGCGGCGGGGGCGGGACAAAAGTTATTCTAAGATCATAAGTCTTCCGACCCTATCACATATTCTAAAAGATGCAGAAACCTTCAGCTTCAAAGTCGCTGGGGTTGCGGGTGAGCCAGAGCTCATTCGCCTTTGGACGGTCGCAGCCTGTGAGATTTGCTCGTCCCTGGCGCGCCAGACGAGGAAGCTGATGTGCAGCAGGTGGCGCTGTCGAGCTGGCGATGGCCGGCGGGGTGGCTTAGCCCTAGGAGTGGTCAGGGCGGGGCCTACCGCTTCCAGGACAGATAGCCTCGGCCCAGTGTCTTGCAGTCCCTGGCCAGGGCCCCGTGTCCCGAACTATTCCTGGGCGGCTCTGGCCCCACCAATGACCTTCACTGCTCTAGAGCTTTGAACTCTTACCTCGGCCCCAGCTCACGTTCCAGAGGGAAATTTAGCAAACCATTAACTGTCCTCTCCCGGTTGGCCAGTCGGCCTCTGGCCCCGCCTTCTTCCCCTCTCCTCCGCCCTGGTCCCGTGCGGGCCAGCAGGTGAGCACGCGGCCGCCTGCGCTGCAGCGCCAGTCCGGTCCAGCCCGCCCGCCGTTAGCTAGCTACACTTTAACGCACTGCTGTTTTCCACCTTGAAATCGGAAAGCAATTCTGGTGCCCGCGACATCCACTCACTAGCAGAGGCTCAGGCCTCCCGCGGCGAGCAGCACGGAGCAGTCCAGCTGTTACCTCTGCTGCGGTGGCCAGGTGCCCTTGCAGTGGCAGCTGGCCTGATACTAGGTCTAGTAGGCCTGAACACTTCATATCTAGTCTGCCAGCAATGCCTCGAGCAGATTCTTCCCTTCTTAAAGCACAAGACTGAACATAAATACGCAACAGACTTCCTTCCCGGTTATTAGGTTAGCAGTGGCAGCGAACCTATGACACGCATACTGCGGCAGGCACACAGCGTCCTCTCCATCAGCACATGGGCCAAGTCACCCCAGCATTGCCCCAACAGCCGGATATTCAGGTTTCATTGTAGTGTTGGCACTTTGCAATAAGTAAGTGGGTTTTGGGTTGCAGTTTTGGAAGTTGGTCTCTAAAAGGTTCGCCATCACTGGGTTTGGAAGGACCGGTTTACAGGGTGATTCACCCCTCCTCTACGATGTAAGGATCTGAAGAGTCTTCTCTCTGGAATATGGAGACTTGCACAGGGCTTCTTCCAACCCCAAAGAGGAACATTCTGGTAAGATAGTCATTAACTCTAGGCTTGTGACTGGCTCAGAGGAAGTAGCTTCAGCTAAACAGATGTTGTTTCATGCCCGGTATGACTCCAATCAGTCAGCAGGTCGATAAACTGAACAGATGAAACAAAGAAGGCCTGGGGAGATTAGGTTCTCAACCAAGGTGGGCTGCAGGAAGTGGTGGCGCTGACTCTTTCCTACGGCACACTGGAAGGATTGGGAAACCATTTAATAAGAGGCCACCAGTGAGACAGAGATTTAATAACACCATCCACACCTCCCACACCATTCTTTATAAACTTGGCAGGAGGGCAATGGGACTCCATAGAGGTCCTGGTAAGGGAACCCAAAAGCGTGAACACAAGAAACAGTGATTTGCTTCTGCTTTTAACTCCATTGCTTTCTTGGTCTCTAAGTGGCCCAATTATCTCTTTAGTTCACTGCCACCTCCAGTGCCTACTTTTCTTTTTTAGGTAATAACTGGGCATCCATTCTCCCCAGAAGTGTTTTCTAGCAGCCCAGGGCCCTCACCCATCCCTCTGAGTTCCCATAGCATTCTGGGGCAAGTTGAATCCTTACAATCATCACATGACTTTCCTGACCTACGCAACTATCTGATTTCTTCACTGCATATTCCAGAGAACCAATCTGGTATCAGAACCACTCTGGAGCTGTTTGGGGGACTCTGCAATCAGGAAGTGGGGAGAGGAAAGCCAATGAGAAAGACTAGTGCTATTTTTCAAAAATGGTGATATCAGTCCCTCTATCTGGACAGAAAGACCCAGGTTGGGCCAAACATTTGAGGCTTAAACAAGAAAAGCAACTTACCCTTTACTCCTAGGGAAGACTGGACTCCAGGTGGCCAGACACACATATCCCCTCATGTATAGATGTAACACAGCAAGAGACACTTAAGAATATAGCGTAAAACGGCCTCAGCCCAGGCCTCTCCAACACCTCCTTCTCTCAAACGTAAGAGTGCATTCTGGAGTTTTTCAGAAGCATAAAATCAAGGGTGGGTGTCTAGCCTTTCAAGTGGCTGGCTCACTGGAAACCAGATAAGACACAGAAGGCCAGCCTGGTGCAGGGGAGCAGGATGGCCCTGGCACCACCGTGAGGGAGGGAAGGGAACTGACTAGAGCTGAGCAGAGCATGTGGCCAGTGGGTGGTCCAGGGCAGGCAGAGGAGCCTGCAGGCAGTGATTACCTGAGGGAGGATTATTCTACACCACCACGGACAGACCCCTCCCCTCAATCCTGGGGCTCCTACAACCAACAATGAACGCTCGTGTGCACACCGCCCCCAACCAGTGCAACTGAGCCCAGGTTCTCAATTTGCCTCACCTGCCCAGGCCTTGGGACTTGCCCCTGTAATTTCTTTTATTTCCAGACCACAATCCTGTGACTGTAATGTTCACGAGCCTCATTGCTTTGCTTCACCCTCTGTGCCCCTGGGGCCCACAACTACCAAGCAGGATTAGGGGTTTCCCACTTGCTGGGGTGCAGCTTAACCTCCAGAAAGTCACAAGGAGGAGAAGTGTGAAGAGACAGGAGACAGAGGCCCTGACACAAGTTTTTCAGTATGCAAGTGTTTTTTGACTCCGCAGCCAGTTGATTAAAATGAAACACGAAGGGCAGCCAGAATATACACCTGATGCGAAAGGTAAAGGTAAACATAAAACATAAACCACATGATACACGACCCCAACACAAAATTAAAATCCAAAACCCCTCAACTTTATATATATATATTTATATATATATATATATTTAGTTTTTTTTTTTTTAAAAAGGGAGAACAACTTCAAAACCAACTGGGCAGAATAATGGGGCTGGGGAGCAGTCCTACAGAAGGGGGCCCAGAAATTCCCCCAGGGAACAAAGAACAAACACAATACAAAGAAAATAACCACCAATGCTCCCAAATGGGTCAGGAGCCTCCAGAGAACAGATTGTCCCATCCTTGAACTGGCTTTTTTTTTTTCCTTTGTTTCCATTTTCTTCTTTTGTTGTTGTTTAGCACCTGTACAATAAAACTGTACCACCTCCAACCAGAGCCAGCCACAGTGAGCCCCTCCTGCCTTCGGATGGTACAGACTCTCTACAAGGATTGTTCGGAAAAATAGCAATTGGTAGAAAAATAAGAGAGTGGGAAAGACACGCCACAGAGGGGGTGGGGACAGGGAAGCACCCCAAATTCCTCCCTTCCCTCCTCTCCCTGCCAACCAGTACTAGAGGCTTAGAGGAGTCGGTGGGGCCACACGCTCAGCCTGTGGTCAGTCCCCAGGCAGGAGCGGAGCCTGGGCCAGAGACTGGTCTCCCACCTCCGCCTAGGACAGCACTGACGCCTGATGTCACATCTGGCTGTCAGTCCTAGAGCCCTGCACAGATTCCCAAAGAGAACAGCAGGGAGGGGAGGGGTAAAGATGGGAGTCAAGGGCTAGGAGGTGAGAGGCTCAGTATCTGGAGAGGAGGAGGCCAGGACAGAGCGGAATGGCTAGGGCTACAGGGGAAAGATGGCAGAATAACCCCGTATTGTGCACCTTGAAGGGAGCAGTGAAGAAGGTGTGAGAGGGCACCCTCACTCCTCGGGCTCATTCTCAACTAGAGTAACTCAGAAGCCCCTCAACCAATTCTCCTCTACCCAGTAAACACTAATCTCAAGATGGCAGGGCCACTGCGAAGGACAGGGAGAAACACTGGCAGGGGAAGGGAAGCACCAAAGCCTCGGGGTTTACCCCCACCCCCCAGCTCTGAGCCAGCGTCGTTAGTCATGTGCTCTTTGCCCTGCCCACCTCAGCCCCTCCCCAGGGGAAAGCAACCTGGGAAGAGCTGTCAGAGGAAGGGAGCAGCCCCAAAGCTTATCAAGAAAGGAAAAGAAAGGAGGTAAAGAAAGTCCCTCGATACAACAAGTTGTCTCAAATCATCACAGTGATACAGACTTATCAGAAATCAATGAAACAATACAAATTAAATACTAATAAAATAAATACTATGGAAGACAGAAGAACACAGGGGGACAAGGGGGCGCTCAGGTTTGGGCTTTTCTCATTTCTCCTTGGAACAGGACACAGCCACCCAGGCCCACATTTGGTCTTGGTCATATGCAAAGATGCCAGTCCAAGGGACCCTGGTGCCACCTCCCACCACTCCTGGGACCTCTTGTCTTCAGACGTGGAGTTCAACTTTCCACCCCCATCACCAACCACAATGACAATGATGACAGGGAGATGAGAACTAACTGTAACCAAAAAACAAAAACAAAAACAAAATCCAGTCACTAATGCTGGCATTGATAAGGCGGCTTCTTGTTGGTCCATATTATTGCCTCATTCTGCAGTCTGGTGCTTGGTGGGGGAACATGGGAGGTGGGGAAGGGTGAACTCGGGAGGAGAAAGAACAGGGAGGGGCTGTTTTCCTGGTCAACTGTTCCAAGACTGGAATTCCACCTCAGACCCTAGGAGCCGAAGGAGC